TATACACGAATAGTATATATATTATATATATATATATATTGAGTCACTGATCTCCACTCGTCGGAGCCGCTCACACCCCACACTGCACGCGTAAGCACGTAGATACCATCTGCAGACAACAATATTATAATATATTATTATTACAACGACGGTAGAATACCTGTACGGCTGCGCATGATTTCATGTACCTATGGGTACGTATATTATATCGTGACCGCGTTTATTATAATAATGTGCAGTAAAAAATACAATATAATATAGGGTCCACGGCGACTTGTACAGACGTGTGTCGACGAGTCGATTATACTTTGCAGCAGACGCACATGTGTATAGGTGGGTACACACGGAGGGTTTGAATTAATTTTTTTTTTTTTTTTGTCCTCGGTGAAATGAGAAAGTGTTGTTGCATCAGCCACGCGTTCCCGCACGACGCACCATTAGTACACGTCTTGGCACGTTTATTCGCGCGTTTCTGTACATATACGCTCCCAGACACAACGGCTGTATCGTCATCAACACGGCTATATACAATACACCGCATGTATATGGACACTTAACAATTATACAATATTAAACCGCATACAACTCGACGGAGTGTTTGGACATTTTCAAAAGATAAGCTAGTAAGAATGAATAAAAGATGGAGTTTAAAAAAAAAAGTTTGATTTTAACTTCAATAATATCCCTTCATACGTCATAATATACGGTACCTATTATAGAGACGTATAAAATCGTGTAAATTATGATTGACTACGCTCGAATTAAAGAGAATCAATCGATCTGGACGATTCTATCCCTTATCTCGTCCGTAGCAAATACACCATTGTGTTGAAGTGGCGTAACTAGGCATATTGAGTTACAGTGTCATTTTTAATAAATGGGCCATAATTTAAATGTTTTAGTTTTGTATACGCTTAAAAAAAATGGGGATCGATAAATTGTCGATTGATAGAAAGCTTAACACATTTAATGATACCAAATGAATATTTACATTTTAAAAATTCAAAAAATTTAGTATATGAGAGTGTTTTAATTTTTTCTTATACATATACACATTTTATATATAAGTCTCTACTATTCATTAATACCAAAACATAATATTAAAATCTAAAGGTTTTTTTGTTAACAGAATTTTTTGATTTTTATATAACCCATGTTAAAAAATAAATGCCTAACTGTATTATAAACACCAGAAATTTTGTATAGAAAAAACTGTATTCTTACAATTTTAAACCAATAACTAAGCCAAAGTTAAGAATTCTTTATCTCCATAATTTCTTATTACAAATTTATAGCTATTTATAAATATTTATCGCATGCTTATTGATGCTCGTAGTCTTATAAATAATAAAAAATAAAAATTTAAAAGTAGGTTTTTAAGAATTAGTTAAGTAATTAAAATTGGACTTGTAAATTCATATGTTACGTATAATTTTCATGATTTTTTTTTTTCAGGAAGAATACTTCAAGAAATATTCAAAATTACCTCTTTAAAGCACAAAGTATACTGATAAAAATGTATTTCAACTTTATGATACAATTTTGATCAATGTCATCTGATATGAAAATGGCGTATTGAGTATATACCTAAACACGAATTTTTAGCAATACGCATCATTGACTACTCTATTCGTAAAATAACAGTTTGATAACACATTAAATGCTGATCACAGATATTATAGACAATGTACAATATATAAACTTTAATTTTTTTATTACATATATTATTCTACATTGTACCTACTTTAGATAATTTTATTACGCATTTTATTATTTATATATTAAGTAAATTGTTTTTTCATTCATTAAAACATTCTGATTTTGGTAATAATTTTTACATTTATCAATAATCATCACTCACCAAATACAGAAAAATACGATTGTTTATTTTTCCGGGACCACATGGTTTGTAAATATTGGGAGCCCCTGCGGTGATCGACTCACTTTAACAACCTTCCTGGTCGCCACTAAGTCTACGTGACGATCACTGAGGCGAATCACCATACAACGTATCTAAGCATAATATAGTCTTATATCATATAATTTTTACTACGTGTGAAATTAGATACCTTATTTGGGTTATTTTATACATTTTAAGTATATACCTACCACACGTATTTTGAACCTGCACTACGTATGCGTATTGTGTCTATAGATCTCATCGGCTTTATCAAGTTCACCAAGAGCATCGCGGTCATTACGTTATCATATTTTGAACAGATTGTTAAATTACACTTTCAGAGTTATCGGCAATAGATATATACGGTTTTAAGAAAAAATTATTTCTTTCTTTTTACCACGGCGCCAAACATTTAACTGTTGTTATTGAATTATTGTATGTACTATGTAGTAGGTATTGTAATATATAGGTACATAATATGACCTCGGTAAATTATTTTGCACATTATAATATTCTCTTAATATGTTCGTACAAGATATTATTAAGTATGTATATTTTATTATTATGCACAGCGTTACGTATGTAGGTATGTTTTGTTTTCAATTTTCTTCGCGCAAACAACTTCAAGGGAATGTGAAAATTTCGATAACAGTTTATACGCGTTTTTTAACTTATAAAACATAATAATTATATACGATACGATGATAACTTCATTTCAATATAAATCACTATCATATACACGCACACCCTGTGCCATAATATTTGTAGGTATATAAATATATAGTACATATATATATAAACACTAATATTAGCCATTAAATATACATTGATTTATAGAGTAGAATTCACAGTTTATGTGATCAATATTAATATTATTAATCATCATTTATTTGAATGAATGAATTCATCATAGTAAATAGATATATTATACATGATATTTATTCTTTTGTATGCAATGTTGGACAAAAAATCTATCACTAATGTGCATTATAAGAAATAATTGATAATATTAAAAGTTCAAGACATTTTTATAATAATTAAAAATAATATATTGTATAACCAATAAAAATAAAGCTAAAGAAAAGCGTTGTCTACGGCCTATTTGCTAGGATATTTTTGTAAATTTTCACTATAAATAATTTTTGGCATGATTGTTGTGAGTGAGAAAGAGAAACAACAGTTTAAAATAAAAGAAATATTTATTTTGAAATAAATTAATTCTATATATATTTTACACATGTATATTATTTTTAGGATGAAAAAAACATCGTGGAAGATTTAGTTTTACTTTTATAATTGTTCTAAACCTATTGAAGTAAATGAATAAATTGTAAAAACTGTCATATTTATGTGTATCAGCTAACATTTGAAATTTAATTTTAATTCTCAAAATCGAAATTTTTTGTGATAAGTTGATAAAAACATTTGAATATGAATAATAAAGTAAAAAACAATATTTTTGAAATTATGAGTGATTACTCAGTAAATAATGTTTTGTTTAATTTATTTATATAATAATTATATATTTATACACAATATCACTTATTAAGTGTTCTTACCAATTATTTATTTTTAACAATAATGTTCAACTACGCAAGTCGAATAGTTCTTATTCTATACATGATATTTTGAACGATTTTCCGAATCCCTGTAAATACAACATACAAAAAATTTATTATTTTATATGAGGTATAATAGGTAAGTACTGTAAATCATTAATCATCATCCCCAAAAAAAAGTCCAATATAATATATTGCAAGTTAAATCCATTATTTGATTCTTAAATGAAATATATTATACAGTAGGTACTTTGTGCTTTAATAATAAATTACAAGAATGTAGTAGGATTTGAGTTAAATAGCGCACTAAATGATATTATTTATTTTGTTTTTTTTCCTAATTAATCCGTTATTTATATAATAAGTAATAAGAATTATGATGGTTAAAACCAAATAAACTAAGTACTTTCTAACTAAAATTATTAATGTTATCGAGAAAAACACCGATTGATTATTGATAAACAAGCATAAAATTAATCTCAATACAATTTAAAATATGTTAAAGTATTAATTTTATTTTCCTATTTATTCTATGTAATAATTTATTCTTTATCTGTAACTTATTACTAATAATTGTGTTCTTTATGTTATAAAAGAGGAAATGTTTTACTCTTCGTTAGACTTAGACCTAATCCGATAAAATAAAATTAAAAATTAGAATCGTGATTGATAGGATTTAAGGATTTTAAGATTTTCTTTCAATTTTCATAACTACACTACACAAAACAAATTTAAATTAAAATTTGTAAAAATAATAAATGGAATTTAGTTTTTCAGTTATTTATTAAACAAGTGCTAGATTATTCTGTTGTTTGCGGTTGGAAACGTGCCGGAAACCGTGCTAAACCGACACAAAGCGTCGAAAATTAAAGTCTCGACATTTGAACATTTAATAACGGGCATTATCGTGTCTCGTGATAATAATTCTATTTATTTAACGATTAAAACATAAACAATGATTTTCTAACGCCATTCGATTTACTGAAGATTACATATTATTATTATTATTATTTTATTTCCGTCGTATAATAATAATTATTATTTACCGCCGACGTCGAACCGCCATCGCGCTGCAATTACGAACTCGTCTGACGCGAAAACCGCGCGTAAGCAATCCGCCGCGCGTTACACAACCATCGGCACAAAAGTCCTAAAGTGGGTACCTACACGATATATTCCCGCTGTCCGGTTATAGCGGGCACGGACATTTTTTCTCTCCCCCCCCCCTAACTACAACTATTATGATATCAAAAAAAAAAAAAAAGTCGACGACGACGACGAAAAAAATCGGAATCGAATCCGCCGCCGGCGAAGGGGGTGAGGTCGGCGGATACATCGTCGTGGCGGCGAGCGCCGCCGACGCGCGGCGAGAGGGGTAGGCGGCGGCGGGTCGGCTCGACCGGGAGACTGGCCGGCGCGGCCGATGACGATGACGAGCACGCGAATCGCGGTCGTTTAAAATATAATAAAAATCTTACGCGCACACACGCGGGAGCTCAAGAAGTCAAGAGTAATGTAATTTATACTCGAACGAGCGCGGCGCGCGCGCGCGCGCGCGTGTGTGTGAACAGTGCCCGCGAGCTGACGTACACACACGGCGGCGGCGGCGGCGGCTGCCGTGGCGGTGGAACGGAGCCAAGCGACCGGCGCTCAGAGAGAGGGAACCGTGTCCGGTGGTGACTCGCCACGATGGAGTAGTGGATCGCAGTTTGGCGCATAAACGTGCAACGCTCGTCGGTCTTGTTCTTAGTTTAAAACGAGTCGCCGTCAATTAAACACACACACGCATACACGCATTTAATACAATATAATAACACAATAAATATTGCTCGATACGTATACGATTGTTGTGATATTAAATACGCGCACCGCGCTGTTCAAAGTCGTCCGTTCGACGAGTGACGTTTTTTAACACGTTTGTTCGGGGTTTTTTTTTTTTTCCAAACGCCGTTTGGGTCTTTGGAATTTTTTTTGCGGGTAAAAGTTTTCTTTTTTTTTTTTTTCTCCGGACGCTTTCTTCTTCGACACCCCCCGTCGTCTCCGAGTCACCGCTCCGTCAGTGTGCGCGTTTTTCTTTCCGCGCCCCGTCGTACGCGCGGTACCGTCCCCGCCCCCGAGTTCGTTTTGCACGGTGCGAGAGAAAATATGGTCTCCGCGCCACTAAGATGATACCGGCGTACAAACCGTCGGGAGACAGTTTCGTCGAATACATATTCGTGCTCAACCACTCGAAAACCTGAACTTCCGGTCCCTGCAGTGCGCTACCGTTGCACCCTCGGACGGTTCTGTACCCACAGTACGACGTAATCACGGTACCGCGACACCGGACGACACGTTTCACCGTCGTCCCGCTCGGTCAACCGCCGCCGACGTCGCAGCCGCAGCCGAAGCCAAAGTCGGAGGTCCTCCGGGCCACCGCCGCACAGCCGCCGCAACGTCGCCGCAAACGGGCAACACAGCCCGCTCAGACTCCACGACTGTTGTTTCTCGTAACGCAGTAAGTACCGTAGGTCGTTGTCCGTCCCACCCGCCCCGGCGCTGCCGCGTGCCCTAGGTTAGTGTCATCGTCGTCGTCGTCGCGCTACGCGACCGCCCGATAAGCCTCCCCCTCGCACGCAGCGTAGGCACAGGTTTATGTGGTACTCGTCCTATCGGTCCGTCCCAAACGTTTCCCAGGACTCGGATTTCCGATTCCGTTTTTGATCGTTTCTCTAGTCCAACGACGGCGGTTTGAGGTTTTCATTTTACGATAAATCGCGTGCACCGCACGTATCTTATTATTAAATAGGCACTCCGTGGTTGTGACGAATAGCATAAAAATTTACGACGATAACTCGATTATAAATTAGTCGAAAGTCCTCACTCCTCATACGCCGCTTTATCGATGTGGTGTATTATGATCTCAAGTGTTTGCTGTCGTACACGTATATATCGCCCGGAAAGCGTGTATTTATTGTATTGTTAACATGTGTATATAGACGCTCTACTAATGGTATCGCCGCCACACGTAGCGCATTAATTGCAACAGTCAACAGGTATATTAAAAACTATATATCATGTTGGAAGATAGTGCAACAGGTTAACCAAGACATTTTCCATTCGCACGTGTCACTCGACGAGTTATAGGTAGGAAAGGCTGTTGGATATAATTTGACGCATTTCGGTTATCTCGGTATCGGTATCTATTTTATCATTATTTATTTGCAGCTATTACACAATTTAATATTATAAATTTTAACATATTTATAATGTAAAACAATATTTTATGTATGCTTTTACAATATTCAATCTATAATACGTCAACATATTATAATAATAATTATTATTATTATTATAATTACGTGGTTTTTAAGGGTTAAAACGTTTTTTTATACATTTGAATAATGGTGTGTTTTTTTTAATTCTCATAAAATATATCTTTTCGATATCATCATATTAAGGGTTAAATTATGTATAGGTTGTCCGATTTTAATATGTAATCCAAATTGATTTCTAATTTATCAAAATGTCACCTTTCTTAAAAATAATCTAAATTAATCTTGAAATACTAAATTTATATAAATACAATCACAGAAATAATAATTGCAGTTTTGAGAAATATGTACATTGAACAGCTAGTTTATAAATAAACATTATATATTTTTTTTATCACTTTCACTGAAAGTTGAAAGGTCAGTTTATTCTAGTTTTTAATCGTCACAGATTCCTATTTTTGGTCAATAATATTATATAATTTATTATTATGATTAAAATTATTTATTGTTTTAATAAACGTAATTTATTTACGTTTTAACACGACTGAAAAATAGTGTGCCTGCAATAGGTAAAATGTCTCGATAATCATTCAATAAAAATATAATTTATTAAATAAACCGATAAATTATTTTATGATTGTTAATCAGTAATCACAATGATAATATTGTAGTTAAATTAAAATTATAATATTACCTACCGATTTATTATTATTCATATCGATGCGTAATAAATCCATTATAACGCTTAAAATAATAATAATAATAATATGTGATAACCATTGACCAGTGCAGTGCTGCACCTCATCAAAACGCCAGAGACGAATTTTATGTTGGATACCGGATGCTACCGGTGTTCAAGAATACATTAATGACATAGTGCGGAAATACGATCGCGTTTACCAACGATTTATTGAAAATATAAATGCAAAATGGAAATAAGAACGCGGTCGTCGTATTGTATTTTCTTAGAATTTACTTTACGGCGCGGGGTAAGAAACACCAAATTATAACAAAAATATATTAAATAATATATCGTGATTTTTGTCGATGGGATTGATTTCCGTTTTGGAGCTGCATCTCGTCCAGGGCGATGCTGCTGCGCCACGCACTCATCCGCGTTTACCGCCGTCCGAACGGGGACGGTCGCCGCGATTTTCCGACGGAAACGACGATGCGCCCCACGACAGTTCGTCACAACGTCGTTGAACGTAAACGGAAACGCGCGAACGAACGAATGAACGAACGTCGTATACGACGAGCACGTTGTATATACACCGGCGGTCGCGAACTAATCGGTTACATTTCGTGTGTATAGGTGCGTATAATATAATACAAGTAATACAACGGGCAATATAAAAATAAAATAAATCTAAAATAACCATTGTGTGTATTGGATGTTCTGAAATAGCCGTTGGGCAAGTGGCGGCGGCGGCGGCGGTGCGTTGAATTCTTTTCTATTTAGCGGGCGACCCCGCCGCCGTCTTTGCCGCTGGTTTGGGTGCCCGTGTTTTATTTTTCTTTATAGTTAATTTCCGTTTTTAAGCGGCCGAGGGACCGCCTCGAATATAAAATACAAATAACATACATAATAATATAATAATGTGAAATAAACACACGGTCGGTCTCGGGTTCGAGTTGTGTTTTTTTTTTCTCCATTAAGTTTTTCCAGACTTACCCATGCCTTCGGTAGAATTTTTTTTTATCCCTCTCTCTGTCACTCTGTCTCTCTCCTCGTCGCTCTGTCTCTCTCTCGCACACACGCACACTCGCTCACTCTCTCTCGCTCGCTCAGTCAATTAATACGCCGTATAAGGTTATCGTTTGTTGTACCCACCGCGTGTGTATATAATATTATTATTATTATTTTTATATTATTATTGGTATATTGTCCCGAAGAGACAATCTATACTACTGCTACAACTGCCGCTGCCGTCGTGGGAAACCGTCTGCTCCGCCGACGACAAGACAAGACAAGACAGGACAGGACAGGGGCCGGTGGCCGGTGAAGTCGTCGTACGTATGTGTATGTGTGTGTGCGTGCGTCTATAAATGAAAAAAATGTATGATTATAATTATTATTATTATTATTATTATCATCATCGTCATCATCGACCGCATAAATCAATGGTGCAAAACCGGTTGCGTTGGCGGCGCGCGTTTTAAAAATAGAAACGTCGTTTTTATTTATTTATTTTTCGTTTTATTAGCCATGTAATGTACTATATATATACATACATTCATACCAAGTATACACATATGGCCCAAGGAAATTGCGCGTAATAATATTCTCTTAGCGAACGGCTAATTGGCCACCGCCGTCGTATTTAGGTCTGTGTTTGGCGGCGTCCGAGTAGGCGGAAAACGAATACGCATAATAATAACATTATACGTGCGGCAACGATAATAATTCGTCTATTGATATATACCCTCGCGCGACGTACGTCATACAGAAACCGAGTGAAAAAAATTTAGAAAAAAAAATAAAAAACACCGTAAATATAGTTATATACGCGCGCACGGTATGCACACGGCGGCCGTTGAAATTCGCGAGGTCCTGCCGTCGACGTGCTATTGTGCTAAATATAGAATTGCCTTAAACTTTTTTTCAAAAAGTGTAAAATGCGCGTATTAGTTCGATTCAAATATCCAACGGTCGTCGATCACCGTGACCTGTGATATTGCGATTGATGGCGTCACCAACGACTTTCATTAGTTTTTTCTCACAGTCCGCCGTTATTGACAAATTATTGTATCAATCACAGCGATAAATAACATTGTGGACGGCTAAAATAAACAATACCTACACGATAAGCGGCTATTTTCGTCCGATTGTTTGTTGATTACAAGCGTGTTTGGTTTTCACGCTGTTGAACATATTTATTATGATGTAATATTCAATGTTAACAACTAACAAGTGTAGGTAGCACCTAAGTTTCAAGTGTAACCGTGTGCCGTCCTGATTTATTTATAACTCACAATATTTTTGCAGTCTATAAATTAATATGTTTTGTTTTTTATTTCTTTCCAACTCGTTTTCCGGTCAATAACTTGTAAAATAAATGTAAGTACCTCTCAGTCGTTTTTACAATAACAATATTAACGTCCGGAAATGCGATCGATTCGTTACACGATAATGATAATAATAAATAGAGCTCTATTGGGCGGAGATTCCGCGATACACAAGTAAACCCTAAATTAATGTTTGTGAATAGGAATATTATACTATTGCGCAACCAAAAAACATTTACTAAAAATCCGCGGGAGTCCGTTTTTTTATTTTCACGCGTCGCCGGGGCAACCGACTAGAATTCGGAGAGCAAACCGAGGCACGTGTGCTCCACGGATTGCTCTCTTGCAGCCGGTCCATTCATATTATTCTTCGTACGGTCGATCGACCGCTAAAACGCCACCCGATTTATTTATCGGTCCCTATTTTGTTGTTTTACTCGTAATTCATTTCTTAATCATATTTCTGCGTAAAATTATTAGTTTAAAATTATTATAGTAATATATTATACGTTGTACCGCGACCGCGAATACGATTTATGCGTCTACGTCGCAGCCGTAAATTGTTTAGCGTGTCCGTGCGGGCAGGCGTAAGCTATTGCAAACGTTTCCAGACGGTTTCTGCCGGTCAACCGTGCGTGTCCTCCGCAATCACCGCCTTCTGCTGTCTGTCCGCAAATATACGGTGCGGACCGTTTCGCGACCAACGTAGACGAATTTGAAAACGTCCTCTGCGTAATAAATATTAATAATAAATTCCGACCGCACTGTCGCGCCAATCCGTTTCGGTTTTGAAACGTCGGCAAACAGAACTTTTCCCGAGTTTGCAGATTCGAGAACGAAGAGCCATTTTTTGACGATTTCCCACCCCTTACCCCCGAGGGTCGTAAGGTCACAGATATATCGTTGCAGGTACAATGCATATATATATATATATATATATATATATATACCTATTAAATTGTATTAAACATAATATTTTATAAAGTTAGGTTCGATTTAGAAGATCGTTTTTAAATCTCGAATACAATAATAGCAAACAGGACAGCCGCCACAGATGGCACCCACATCATGTCCGGTAATTATTATTATTTAATATTTATTACCATTATTATATTGTTATTACTGCGTTCTCCGCGATGTCTGCAGAACAGCAGCGGTGACGTAGTGTATCGGTATATGACAGAACATCATCGTGCGTGCTTTCGTAACAGCGGCTAACGATATGTTGCAAAGA